GAAGGCGCCTCCGCTCCCTTCCCCGGAGACCCGCCCGCCCGCCGGCCTTCCTCTCCCCCGGGCGCCGAAAGGTCGCCGAGGGGACGATGACGACGACGACGACAGGAAAGGCCTCCACCTGAGGCGGAGCAGAGCCGCCCCGGGGCGAAGGGAAGGAGGAGGCGGAGGACCGGGACCGGCCCCCACCGGGAACGGAAGGAAGGCCCGCTGACCTGAGGAGGGGCGGCGGAGGAGGCCCCAGCGCTCGGGCGGCGGAGTCCGGGCACGGTGCGCGGGCGACTCCCTCCCTCAGTACATCCCAGGAAGGAGGGCGGGAAGCGGCGGCGGCGGCGGCGGCGTCCTGGCGATTCCTCTCCGGGCGGCGGGCCTACCTCGCAACAAGGCGCCGCCCCATTGGCCGCCGGGGTGGTGGGCGGGGTCACATGGCCCTCGCCAGGGGAGACGCCGCCATCTTGGCCCAGGAAGGGGAGCCACGTGACCGCGAGCGTCTCCCTGCTTCTTTCCGGTTGGGAGGAAGCCGCCGGAAGCTCGGGCAGGGAGAGTTCTGCGCATGCTCAAGCCCTCTTGTTCTTCTTCATCGGCGGCAACCGACTTCCCCGCCCCGCCGGAGGAGGAGGAGGAGACGGACTCCCCCCCCCTTTCCCCCGCGCCGAAAGGAGGAACGGGCCCGCCTCCTCGGGATTCCCCCGCCCAGCCCTCCATGGTAGAGCCTCCATGGCCAGAGGCAGTCTACCTACCAGGGATGGCCTCTGAACAAGGGCGGCAGGCGGCTGAGCTGCCACTGCTTTCAGGGGCTGCTAAGTGGCCACGAGGACGCTCCGTTCAGGAGAGAGGAAAAGCCGGCAGCCCTTTGAAGCTCAGCCCCTGCGGCCTTCACAGCCAGCCCGGCACACACACAGACACCCACAGGGCTGGAAAGAAGCGGCTCAAGGGCTGCTGAGCTGCACCTCCAAAGGGGATACAATCCTGCACCCCTAAACTCACCCTTGATGCGGTGACTCTGGGCAAAGCCTTCTCTCTCTCTTGCCCCAAGTTACTGAATCGGGTCCTGGCCCTGCGCTGCTTGTTTTTAATGCCTCTGTGATAACACCCACAATCAGCCCATTCCCTGCCTGGTGGGAAGGAAAGTAGGCCTTGGCCAGGCCGCCCAGAGACCTTCGGGTAGCGAGGGCAGCCTGTGAAGTTAAAAATAAATAAATAAACCAAGGCACAGGAGCCTCAGGATAGAGAAAACAGGTCCACTCGTAAATACGAGGAAAAGCTACTCAAAACCTTGTAGCCCCCCTGCCTCCCTTTGGAGTTTTCCAGACATTAACCTTGCCCTCTTTGTCACTGGATCCCCTTCAGCTGGTGTCCTCTCCCAGTGCAGACAAAAAAAAAAAAAAAGATTGCTGGAAGCCACCCACTCCATCCTTACTTAAGGAGAAGACCTCACAATCCCATCCTATGGGGAACTAAGTACAAACACCTGCAGTGAAAGGGCCCACAGGATGGACAGCATGAGGCTGTTAATCTGCTTGTCATTACAGCTGACACAGAAGTGTCTTGTCTTTGATACACATTTATAAAAAGGTGCCTGTGATTTCCCCACCCCCCTCAGGAAGACCATCAAGAGTTTCAGGTGCAGGGACCATCCACTTTCTGGTTCTGACCAGGCTTTTTGCATAATAAATAAAAGCTGTCAACAAAAGCAAAAAAAAGTGATAGCAATGAAGAAAGGTGATCTTTTTCCTTATCAGTTTCAAGTTTACTACAGAACAGAAATGGGACACTAAGAGTCATCTCTTTGTCTGCTTTTACAGAACTGTCAGATTATAACTTTTGAAGCAAAAAAATCTGCCCTTTTAAAAAAATATGTAAACTATCAAAAACCCCAACGTAACAGTTTGCAGGTTGTGAAACAGTCATTTTCTTGCCTGTTTAGGCAAGAGCCTACAAAATATTTTACTTAAGGCAGAGACAGAAAGAACACACAAATTCAACGTAGTAGCCCATACAACGTTGCAGTCTGAATCCGAGGAGTCTTTTTAACGGATGGGCCGGTAAGGAAAGGCCATTCCTGGTAGAAATGTCTGTACGGGGTGGGTAGGGAGAGCTGGGTGCGCTGGCATTGCCGGGTGTGCTGTGTGGGTGGGATATCCCAAAGGCGGGGTATGGATGGGAGGATAAAATCCTGGTGGCAACGCAGCATGGGTGGGCTGCTGGACCGGACCTGAGATCACCAGCTGTAGCAGGCTGCCAGGAGAAAGACAGACAGACACACACACAAAGAGAGAGAGAGAGAGAGATTCAGCTGAATACAAGATGGTTTCGATTAAAAAAAACCTTTGCCATCATTGGTTACAAAAGACGACCCCTCCCTATGACACCGGCTACATAAGCAGCTAAAGATGGACACCATTTCAGGCAGGAAGAGTAAATACAAGCACATGCCCACAGTGGGAAGGTGTGGCAATCAGAAGGAAGCACACTGATGCGTTTGGCTTCCCAGCTGGATGGCATTCCATCTTGGCGGACGATGTCACCCATTTCAGCTGGAGGAAGGGATGCCGAGGAGACCCCCTTCACCCTAAAGGCAGAGACTGGAGCTTGGCTGCATCCATGCCCTGATTTGGGGGGGGGGCACTGGTTTGGACTTCTTCCCATTTGAAACAGAGAGCGCCGACTTACTTGTTGTGTGGTAATCTGGAGCACACGGTCCTGAGATCCTCTGAAAGGAAAGATGGGATCCAATGAGGTTGAGAAAACAAGAAGCCAAGCAGGCCATCATGATTCCTGAGCTGGTCGTGTGGAAGGGAAGATCATGGAAGCTGGTGGAGCTTGCAGGCAGACACCCCAGCCAACTCTCTTGACCCCTCCCTCCCCAGGGAGTCCCCCTTCAGCCCAGGAACCAGGACTTCAGCCCAAAGGGGAGGCTGCTAAGCTCACCGACTGAGCTGACTCGGCTCCTTTGCACAACCCGGGGAGGGGGTTGGGCCAATGGTCTCAAATGAACAAATCCGGATCAGACCAAAAGCCTCTTTAGCCCAACGTGCCTCTCACCCAGTGGGCAACTGGCTGCCATGGGAGATGCAGAGACACAGGATGGCAGCAGCCACACCCTCCATCTCACGTTCCCCACCAGCCCATATGGTGAGGTATACGGCTGCAGATGCTGGAGGTGGCTGGCTTTCTCCACCATGAATTTATTCCGCCTTCTTTTAAGGCCACCCGAGTTGGCAACCACAGCTGTATCTAGTGGCAGTGAGTCCCACAGTTTAACTAAGTGCTGAGTGAAAAAATATGTCTTTTTCTCAGTCTGGGATCTCCCATTCTGCAACCTTTTCTGCTTTGACTCCTTGATTTCTCAACTTGATCAGGAGATAGGAAGGGACTCTCTCTAAATGAAAGCACCCCACACACACACACACCTGTAAGAATCAATGTTGCTGCGGCTGCCAGCAGAAAAGACAACCTGAACCCCATTCAGACAAGGTGATCTGGCGTGGCCAAAGGCACCTTCCTCTGTCCTGCTTTGTGCCCCCCCGGTCAGATCTGCAAGCTTTTCCCCCACCTTCCTCTATTCTCCCAGGAAGCAAAATGCCTCCTTCCAGATGTTGTTGGACTACAGCTCCCATCAGTACTGGCTAGCAGCACCACTGGCAGAAGATTCTGGGAGTTGTAGTCTAACAGGATGCGCAGGGCCCCCACACCGCTCCCATCCGCCGGACGCACCGCGTTCTTCCTGCCTCCCCTCCTGACCTACCTCTGGTCCAAAGCAAGGCCCCCGAGGCCATGGCTACGTGCAAGGCCTGTGCCAGCCGGTCCAGCGCCAGCTCAATCTCTTTGGCGGCATGGAGGGGGTTGAGCTCGTCCGAGAGTCTGCTGATTTCCTCCACCAGGGAAACCATGTGGTCCAAGGGGATCAGCCCCAGCCGCCCGTAGAGGTTCTTCTCCGTCAGGTGGCCCTGCAGCAGCATCAGAACCTGCAGGACGCTGAGGTGCAGCTTGGAGTACCAGAGGTGGCCGTCCTTCTCCCGGCCGGCCAGCGAGTCGTCGGGGATTTTGCCGTTGAGGCTGAGGCCGTTCGAGACGGGAGGCTTCCTCCGCTTGTAAGCCAGCGGGGCCTTCACGCACCAGCGGATCAGGCCACTGAGCGGGGTGAGCTCCAAAAATCCAATCGGCTGGCTGGCCGCAATCGGGGTGTTCAGGAAGGTGATGAGGATCAAACGGGGGTCCTCGAAGATCCATGAGACAATCATCTCCAGCAAGTCTTGTGGGGGGATGAGGTCATCTGAGGAAGAAAGGGAAACCCAGCAGTGAAGACCCTCGGTGGCTCCAGCCTCGGGAAACGGGGTCCTTCAGAGGCACCGGACGCTTGCAGCTGCTCCTTCCGGGAATCCTATTTTCCCAGGTCACATATCAGTCACATATATTGGCACAGAAAGAGCGGGGCCTCCCAGCAGAGACACAGAGATCTCGTGTACGCCTCTCCCCTGCACGCAGGAAGGACTGTGGCTCAGGGACCCCAACTCATTGAGAGTGAAGGGCAGAATACCCCAGAGCACAAAAAGCGACTTTGTCGGATTGCAGCTTCCAGATGTGCAGCTGCCAGCGTTTAACGCTGCTAAAGACAAAACAAAAGTGTTTTTAATTCCTCCCCCCCCCCAAACCGCTGATCTAAACATCAGCAGAGACGGGGCTAGTCTAGTTCTTTCCTAGGGGAATTTCACAGTGAAGGGGCCACTGCAGGGAAGGCTGCTTTTTGTGTTCTCACCCATCCAAACTCTTTAGATGTTGGGGTGAAAAAAAAACCAACCTTCCTTGTGAAATTCCTGAGATGGTGTGAGGACGCCTTGAGAGCATCTCCCCAAGAGGAGGGTGCGCACGCAACAGAGCTCCGAGGCCTGGCGATTACCTGACGAGAGATCATACAGCATGGTGACGGCCGTGATGAACTGGCAGCAGAAGCGAGGGCTGGCGTTGAAGATCTGCTTCAGCCTCTGGATGCAGCCGGGCAGCAGGCTGCAGTAATCATCCACCAGCGCCTGGGCCAGCCTCACGCAGTATACCGCCGGCGTCCGCTGAAATGGACACAAGAGGCGGCCACAGTGACCCTCTGGAGGGACGCCCCCCCCCCATGGAAGGTCTCAGAGCTTGCAGGAGGAGCTGAGGCACTGAATCCCTCCTCCTCCTCCCCCCCCACCGAGAGCATGGCGTCCCAGAAGGGTGGCTCGGCCCGGGCCACCGCCTGGATGCCAAAGCGCTCCGGAAACCATCACCCTGGGCTCCCCGGTGAGGAAGGGCGCCTCGGCTGGCACGGGAAGCCTCACCTGCAACCACGAAGCCGCGCATTCCAAGACGGGGACCCGGCAGATGGCCACCGCCATGGAGACCAGCTTCCCCAGCAAGGCCATCCGGCTGTCGTCCACCTTATTCCCTTGGGGGCTGAAGAGGGAGGAGAAGATGATCTGCCGGACGGAGTCCTTGCTTTGCTCCTGGAAGTAGTTGCACAAGATGTCCAGCCATTGCAGCTCCTGCAGCGAGTTGAGTCTCTGGCAGCAGGAAGGGAGCAAAAATGAGGGCTTGCTTGCAGGGTGTTCCCCTGCGCTGCCCCGGGGTGGGGGGGGGAGTGGGTGAGGGTGGCTGTTTCCTGGGATGGGGAAACCAGCCCTCCTCCTCTCTTCAGGCGCAGGAGGCCCTTCCGGGATGCAGCCTCGGCCCCAGGGCGGGAACCTCCGAACCCCTCTACCCCCAGAACCGGCCACGCTGGTGCTCAGTCCCTGAAGGGGAGCCGGACCAGCCTTGCTCTTCTTTGCAACCCTGGGGGGCCAGCATGAGAGGGCCAGCCAGCCTCCCTCTTTTTTGCGGGGGGGGAGGTTTTGTACATCAGCTCTGGAAGGCTCACCTTGAAGAGATACAGCTAGCATTGACTTTACAACCCTTCCAATGCTTTGCTCCTGGAAGCAGTTGCACAGGATGTCCAGCCATTGCAGCTCCTGCAGCGAGTTGAATCTTTTGGGCGGGGGGCTGCGCTCCTTGGGGGCCTGGAAGACGAACTCCTCGACCAGCTCGAGGGGGCCCTTGTCCACCAGCGGGAGGGGGACGCTCTGGAGCTGGCTGCCGAAGTAGATGTCCAGGTGGTAGAGGACCTCCTTGGCGGCGCTCAGCGCGTCCCGCCGGAGCAGCGAGTGCCGGATGTCGCTCATGGTTCCCCAGGGCCCTGCAGAGGAGGAGGAGGAGGAGGAGGAAGAAGAAGAAGAAGGGGGGGGCCGAGGCCCTCAGTAGGAGGAAAGAGACCCCTGCCCGCCTCCCCCGGCAAGAGGGAGC